ACGAGGGTGAAGAAGGAAAGGAGAGCGAGAGAAAGAACTGAAAGAGCGGAGGGAAGCGTTTACGCTATCCGCAGTCCCCCGAGGTCCAGTCCCATTCCGTCCCGTCCCATCCCATCTCATCCCACCCCATCCCATCTCATCCCACCCCACCCTATCGTTTCGTTGTCCCCGTGTGTGCCACGCGGTGCGGCTTAACGCAAAAGGGCCCACAGAGCAGGAGCAGAGTAACAGAACGCACAGGAAAGGGAAAGATCCGAAGGCAGCAGCAAGCCGGTGGCAAAACGAAAAATCGGCCCGCATATATCGAGCTGGCCTGCAACGACGACGGCGACGGCGACGACGACGACGACCGCGACCGCTGCGGCGGCGGCTACGACGACGAAGGTGGAACACACACATAAAACCAAGGATTCCTTGTGTTCCTACTGCTTAGTGGACTCCCGATCGGCTACCGCTAGCGATGGTTACGAACTTCAGTTAAATACGAGACTTCGAATAAAGAACCACACGATTTCGAATACTTATCTGCATTTGTTTCCATTTCGATCGACTATGTTTGTTGTAATTCCTCTCTGCTAATTAATATCGATAACGAATTGATCGAGAAGAACAAATCTCGGTGAAAAGATTACAAGTATAAATATTCTGATCGCAAGATCTTATGAAATGCAGTAGAACATAATTTAAAAGTTATTAAAAGTTTATACTTCGATTTTTAAAGGTTTGCACGGATTTCTGATTTGGAAATTAACATTTTAGTTATACACTGTTCTAAATTATATATGTATGTGCTAACTAAATGAATCAATGAAATATTTTTTTAGGAATTTCCTCTCTCTTTTCTTCTCTTTGTAAATTTTGCAATTGAACAAAATACGATTAGGTTTGGATTTAATGTAACGCATTACATTACATTATTATCGTTTTGATAGAATTAACCATACTTATATTTGAGAAATTTCTTTCACTGATTTCAAATGTTGCACGTGCCCAACACTATTCTCCGCTTTCATGCCGATTTTGCAACTTTGTGCTTATTTTTATGTTTAGTAGCTACTAATAAAAATTTATGTATACATCTATGAATCTATTTCAATGTATGTGATGTATTTATGTGATGTATTATGTTGTGGAATTAAAAGAAAAAAAAAAAAAAAAAAAAAAAAAA